ACCTGGGGGAAAAATGAGTGGGAACATGGGAACTCAGGTTCAGACAGTAGGTCATTACTTAACAAACACAATAGGGAGTACAAGTATTGCCCCACAAGATATGGCCGGGCAACTTTGTGCGAAGTGCTTCTTCCACATTGGGGATCTGTGCGGTGAGCTCTTCCACAACAGAACCTTGCATGTTTCATATGCATATGTACATACATACATACATACATACATACATACATACATACTTACATACATACATACACACATACATACACACAGATGTACTTACACACAGATGTACTTACACACATTACATTACATTACATTTACATTACGTTACATTACATTACATTGCATTACATTACATTGCATTACATTACATTACATTACGTTATATACATAATCATTACATTACATTTACATTTACATTTACATGTACATTTACATTTACATTTACATGTACATTTACATTTACATTTGTATTTACATTTTCATTTACATTACATTACATTACATACATACATACATACACCCAACAAGTAGGTATACAGGGGGCTGCTTGAAACCCAAATCAACCAAACTCCTGGTAATGTGAGACAAGGGGCATGCGCATGCAGTCACCTCTGCCTTGCCTTCCAACTCAAGCTTGGTCACTCGTCTCCGGTGTTCAGGTTTAGTGTTGGAGAATTGTGCATGAACCATCTCAAACAACAGGGTGACCGAATCTTTTGAGTTCTTAAGCCTGGTGGCGCGCTGTGATGTCCGGGAAGCTCTTCCACTTTTCGCATTATACCCCACAAGGATCTTTTTCGTTCCGAAGCAGTCATCACTGTAGGGACAACCTAAGATCTAATGATTGTTGGTATGCCAAAGAAATACCCCAGCCTTCAAGTTAACAAGTTTTTTTTTGTTTTCCAATTTCAAAAAGATATTGAATTTGATGCCTTGGGGCTCTCCCAGCCATACATACTGACTGTATGTAGAATCCAGTTGCGCGCAGGTTCCGGCAATTCAAGCAGCACCTTGGCCGCACTCGCCTTGAAGCCAACAATTCGGTCATGCTTGGGGGCATCATCATTCCTCAGAACTTGGAGGCTTAGGTGAAAGAACACAGAGCAGCTTGAGGAATGAAAAATATCAGGACCCCATCTCATCATACTACTTGTTGGTGATTGGTGTTTCCTTAGTTCTCTTTTTTGGGACCTTGTGTCAGGACAACCACCAATATCTAAAGAAACACAAAGCCTTATGGACTACCAGCCAGCAATGCTTTTTTGACTCCTCATCTCAAGACAACTGGTTCATATTAAGTCAGAAAAAGGGAGAAAAAGGGTAACTATTGAACCTACCACTTCCCCAAGTTGACAAGACTCCATGACCTGATCATGGCTGTGGCATCCATTTGTCCCCATGCTGATAAATTGACGAAGGAATATACCCATGAAATCGCTGATGGAGCACGCCTGATGCTGCTCTTGGCACTCCGCTTCATGTTGAAGAACCTTTGCTGTGTGATGCTAAACCCCTTTATGGACAAATGGGAAAACACCCAAAGAAAGAGTTGAAGGGAACTAGCAAAATTGTTTTAAAAACCATGCTACAGCTCAGATTGCCGATCTTTCAATCGGATATGCTTGCATTTGATCCGCTGCAAAGAATTCTTCAGAACTTGTGGGACCTGGTGCCATCAAGAATAAGGGGCCCCAAGACTAATTTCTATGGTATTATTTGGCTGGGTTTGGGGCCCCTTTATTTCGAGACATCTAGAAAAATAGATAATAATGTGCCAACATGTAGCCAAGAAGTACAGCACACAAAATACAACACCCAAAAAACTAGTTGGGGGTCCAAACTTCAAACATGTACCTTGCCTCCTTCCCCATCCGGTCCAAAGCAACCACAACTGCCATGGCCGTTTGAATCCTCGCTGCCCCCTTCAGGTACCAGATGCTTCCGATCTCAACATCACCATGTGTCGGGAGGACTGCCATCTGCAGGGGAACACTTGGCAGAACCCTTGACATCTTTTAGGGCAAGGGTTTTGCATGGGACATTCAGTGGGAAATCCTTTGGCAACTTCAAAATTGCAAAAGATATTGTGCCTGGATTCTGATGAGGATTGGCTCTGATGTTGTCACAAACCCATCTCGTTCAAAGTTGTTGATCAACTTTGTGGTGACATCCAGGGTTGGTGGTTCACGAAGGGAGCTTTCTGTCTCAGCGCTGAATGCCCAAAGGGGCAAGAAGAAAGGGGCTTGTTCATCCTCTGCACCTGAAAAGGGGCCCAAGATCCAGCTGGGAAAGGTTTACAGGCAACCCTTAAAGGCACAAACTTTGTAGAGAATGGTTTGGCCTAAATATATCTAAATATCTTTATTTGATGACTCATGTTTTTTTGGGGGGTACTTAATAATATTACTGTAGTTTGTAGGCTGGCCCACCTTCTAGGCAAACTGGGAAAGGATATTGCTGGACATAGGGAACATCACCTGGGTCACCTATGGCTTTCATCAGAACTGCAGCGATTCGACTGTGCCTTTCCGCCCGGATTGGGAAAGACTGGTGTAGGAACTGTCGTGGCCCACCAGCACCTCATGCAGACTTCCCTAGCCCAGAAGATTTGAGTATTGAGTTGTAAATCAAACATTTTTTTTGTGGGAATATATTTGTCCTGAATCAATCTTCAAAGGAACTTTCTATCAACTTGGTGACATCTTCATAGGTTGCGTCAAAGATCGACCCCAAAGCCAATGTGGTCGCTGTGTCCACCTCTGACGGCACAGGAGCATCACATGGAGTATCGACTGGACCACAAGCTGCAGCTTGAGTGTGGTCGACATTGCGGAGCCTGTCCTAAAGTCAGGGTGCTGGATAGGGGACTGAGAATATAAACCCTTTGGCTTCATACAATTTCTAGGGGAACAATCAATCAGTATCAGCTACCAAAGCCAACAAAAGACTGTAGGGAAATTTGGAATCCAAGATTCAATATCATCAAGATCATCCGCCATGACAAGGGATTTCAGGTTTCAACAAATCTGGTCCAAAATGTGCTCAACAAATCCCAGGATTGACTCAATCAATGCAAATCAATAGATCTCAGGGTCTCAATTTCCCAACCTTGACTTCCATCGATTTCAGATGAAACGACTTTAAGTCCTTATATAGGCTATAGTGACCTATTGAAATGGGACCCTTGAAAATGTGACATTGAGATCTATTGGGCACCTAGGTCTATAGCTGACTACAGCAGGTTTCAGATGAAACGACTGGAACTCCAACCCATGAAAATGTGATGCTGACATCCATTGAAATGTCAATTGATGAAAATTCTCGCAGTTGATTCCGGGGCTGCACACATGAGTTTTGACCCAAAATCAAATGCAAGAAAATAAGGTACATTTTACCCCATGCAGCTGCTTGTCCTGAAGTATGCCTACTGAAAGGCTTCAAAATTCTTGGCCTCTTCCAAGATGGCTGTGCAAATGCCATTCACCATGGGTGAGGGATAAGCCTGTGCAAATTGGGAGCGTCGCACACCCTGCTCGGATCCCTCAATCCTCTGGTGGGAATGGGACTGGTCACAATATTTGTCCTTGAACACCTTTTCTACAGCCCTGCTATTGGTGAGAAGACAAGTTGCTTTTTTCATGGGGATACCACCTGGTGAAACAAGGCCGAATTGGCATTGGTCGAAGAAGCACTGCACTACTCCTTCTTGATCACGAACATTCTTTACCTGGGATAAGTCAATCCCTAGGGCACAAAGATTCTTGTAAAATTTGGCACGGGTTGCGCTTCCATTTTGGGACCATAGTTTCTTTACAAAATACAGGGCACAAAGATTCCTTGTTCAGTCAGGGTGCATCAATATTTTGTTGATACTAATACTAATCCATTACTTCAAGACTAATGCCAACCCTGGATTAATATTTAAACCCCTAAGCTGTTTAATTGGGGGGGATACCATTTATGTATCATATTGTGACTATTTGGAGGGTACTCCCACAATTAATATACCATGGTTTATTAATCCAGAGTTGACATTATATCAAAAAATTACCAATCCCTGAATTGAATGAACCCATGGTGCAAAATATTATATATGGTGTCATCCCACAACCAAGCCACTGACTCGCGTTCCCAAGCTAGTGAGTAAGCAGGGTGTTCAAAGATGAAAAAATGACCGAGGAGAATCTGAATGGCTGCCATCCACATCCCGCTGTCAATCAGAAGAAGCCCTTCGAGGAGGCGCACCCAGCGCTGCACTACCTTCATCCTTTTCCAGTTTGAATGCTGGAGTTGTGACAGCATAGTGCAGGGTGGTGATAGGATGATGAACAGGGGTCGAAGTAAGAGCAAGTCTTGGATGGCCACTCTAATAAATTCAGCCTCTCCCAAATCCCAGAAATGTCGAAGGTCATAGCTACGTCGAGCTCGGCCCCCAAGCTCTCTAATCTTTGGGGTTATCCTGGGAATGCTAAAGAATTCCCATGCATGACATCGTGCCGATGGTTCAGGGTCGGGCGACTCCATCAGCTTCATCAAATCTTGGTGCGGGTGATGAATCACAGAGTCTATGTTGCTAGCTGCAATCTTCAGTGTTGCATCTTCACAGTCCAAAACTAAATCATCAGACTGACCACCTGGTACCCTTGGAACTCTTGCAGACGAAGTTGAGGGTTTTGAAACAGAGCAGGGTTGTGAAATCTGAAAGCCAGCATCATCATCATCTGGGAGGTCTAGTGCCATCGATGACCCATGTGCCTGTTTGTGGGCGGCCGAACCTGTGCTACTGGCAGCCCGCTTTTTCGGTTTCCCCTTAGTAGGGCCAGGGGTAGCTTTCCTGGCAGTAGACGCAGCTGGTGCAGTAGGAGTATGTGGGGTCACTGTGCGAAAGAGGCCATACCCATCATCATCTTCGGGAAGCTCCACCATGGCTCAAGCCCCCGAACAGTAGTGTTCAATATGATATGCAACATGTTTTGAAATTGGGATGTAAAGCTGTTATTGTTGCAAAAGCTAACCACGAAGCATTCATTTACATGGCATGTTGTATCAGGTACCCCATGTTCTGACTTGTCATATATGATTGAATATGTTATACATACATAATGATTATTTATTTTACTCTTGTGGCCCTGGTACCCATGCCCCAGAACCTGCAAAGATGCAGCTCAACGCAATGCCAGCTGGCAATGAAACGACATTCATTTCTTGAAAGGCAGCCAGCTAAAAGCATCTTTGGGTTTGCTAGGACCTCTTGAAATATGATTTCATGTTGTCACTCATGTCCAATTTTTTTTTGCAATGGGTAGCTCTCGCAATGGTTGCCCATGTCCAACTGAATGGATATAGGTTCTGGCCCATATCCGAAAACCCCAAGCTAGGATTTGTACAACACTAAGTTGTAAGAGACATCCAACAATGTATGGTTGTTGGGAAAACCCTGTGGTTCATCTCAGCCCTGCCATCATAGTCAGTTAGTTCTTGAGACTCGCCTTGCCACGAGAGCGCTTTCTGCCAGGCTCCTTGGCATTGGGCTTCACCGACTTCGCACTGCCACGACCGCGGCCTTTGCCCTTTCCCTTCCCACGACCAGCAGCTCGACCATGACCAGGGGGCAGGGGAGTGGGATCAGGGCAAACACCTTCTTTCTTCAAGAATTCGGTAATCCCTTTGTCACAGGAATCAAACTGCACACATAATTTCCAGTACTCCCGTTCTTTGCCATCACGCCACAGGGTGCTAGGGGCCAACTGATAGAACTTTTCACGACGGGAATCAAACAAGTTGGCCGCTTCCTTGTCAGTGGGTTTTTTCCTCCCCGCAAAAGTGGCTCTGGTAGGCCAAGAGGGACGGGCAACCCCAGAACTGGCAGAGGGGTTAGGCTCAACATCAACAGGAGGACTTGGCTCAGCATCACCAAGAACATCATCAGCATTGCCATCTTCTGGGGGTGGAACCACCGGGCCACGTTTTTTGGAACGGTGTCCAAAAACCATTTCACCATCATCCTTTGGCTTGACAATGGTTGACTCTGCTGGGCGTTTTCTGGGGCGCCCCTTTGGCTTGGGCAAGGCATCAGGGTGATTGTGAGTGATTGTGACTTTCTTCACTGGGCCTGGTGCAAACTTTTCCCACCTTAAGGTACTTGTGACAATGGTCAGATCAAAAAAGGATAAGACTTGTCTATAAGGAAGCAATCAAAACAGAAAAATTAAAAATAGATATGCCACATTTTCTTGGTTGAGGCTCCCTTCAGGGGACTGGTGCACACCAAGTGGACGACTGTCATTTGACCACCACCACTTGGGCTCTGGGACCGCTGGCCATGCTTGCCTTTCGTTTTGATCCTTAGTTACAAAACAGTACATGGTAATGGGCATCTTGAGGGAATTCTTTTGTTTTGTCAAAAAAAAGTAGATGACATGACTATTAAGCAAAGGGTTCAGTTGGCCTATAGTGGATGGAGGATTGTGGCACTACAGCAACCAACAGCGACTTGGATTCAAATCCCCTTTCAAGAATAAGCCCAGCATCCACCCAATCACGCAATGCCTTGGCAGCTTTAACCAGACACCAGGGCTCCTTCTCCACAAGATCAGCTGTTTTCAGAAACCTCAGGCACATGGAGCTGGGAATTCTTTGACCACATGTGACTTGGCTTCAAAGATTCGTTGGGGAAGGGAACGGTTGAAGATAAATGAAATTAAAGGAAACACCAGGGTGATTATTTAGCTTGTAGTTCATTCTCTTGCTGGAGATAGGTGCGATTAAGAAACTCTTTCTTGGCCCGGTCAGCTATCAGCTTCCTGGGTAACGCTTCAACTCCCTTCTTCAAGAGCTTATGGAATTCCATTGGAAGGAGAACCATTGGAGACTGCGAAAGCGATGGAGAGTTGACAAGGTGTTTCACGAGCAGGATACAGTCACTAGGATGATGCTTGTAGTCCTCCTGAGCAGGCATTAGGTCCCCAAATTTGATAAACTAGTTGTGGGATAGCACTATTGGTCACCACATATTGAAGACCATCATAGAGTCTAAAAGATAGGAAAAGAGTAAACGCAATTGCATTACTTTGTTTTGTTGCCCCAAGTGTCACCGGAGATTTCCGCAGGCACCCACGATTCATCAGTTGCATCATCATAGACTGGCAGGTCCTAGGCTCGGATTTGGATAGTCAAACCTTTGATATATATAATATATATATATATATTAACTCATTACATAGACATGCAAACAGAGACATATATAACATAACTACTTTTTCACAATACATATATACTGTAAATATACATGTTTAAATATATAGTTAAACAAATATTATATATATATTTGTTTATGCATGTCAATATTGATGCATAAAGCCATCATATTCACCTCATGTGTGTTTACATCATGTGTGTATGTATATATATATATATGTGTGTGTCTACTATGTACACACATGTGTGCATGTGAGGTTTTTCCCAAGTCTTGTAAGGTGGTCCTCAGAATGCAATAACCTTAAAAGTTACACACAAGGAGAAATAAAGTGTCACTTCGGCGAATGAAGCGCCAGCAATGGGTGGCATCACCAACATCATAGCCAGTGTGCACCAAACCTGCCACCTCAACCCCAAGTTGGTGAACATAGCTCTTGAAATCTAATGCACCCGGAAGGAGTTCAGCCTTCAACTTCCTCCCACGAGCCGGTTTGACATTCTGCAAGATCACCTCCACGAAGTCCTCAAAGGGACCAGATGGGTAGCCCCATTATCCACCAATGAGTCCAAGAACACTTTTATTAAACTTGAAGTTTTGTCCCTGCAATCCTGGGGTGTTTCAATCACCTTTTGGGCAGCAAATGCTGCAGAGACAGTCCCCAGTCTCTGGTCGATGGGGCCATGTGTGTGCCCCACCTGTCCAAACAGGTGGGTGATGCTCCTCCACCTGGGTAGCAAACCCATCCGGTTCTGATGAAAAAGAATGAAGCCACTAGGATTTCATAGGAGGTAGTAAACCAACCATGCCACATTTGAAGGGTAGCAATTTCAATATTATCTGAGAAGCCTAGTGGCTTGTTCATGGTAATGCCCAAAGCATTCATCTTCATCAGGATCTGGTTTTTCCCCTCCCTCACACAGTTGTCCGTCTGCAGGGACAGGGTTTTGATTCAAATAGCATGCTACATCAAGGGACCAAGTTGTCATTGTTAACATGGACTTTGAAACAAGGTTTTTCAAATTAGTGTTCCCAATTTAAAACCCCAGTGCTTCCACGATTAGATGTTCGGGAAGAGCTCTCCCTCGACGGGCCAACTCCTCCTCAGCCCAATCGATGGCTTTGAGCAGCACTGTCACCTCTGCCGAGGCATCTTTGGCAAGATCGGGCTCCAAGAGCAGGTAGCCTTCCAGCACCTGGGACAGCAAAATTTCACTATGGAGGATGGCATGTGGGTTTAGGTGCCCATTAGAGACTAGAGAGTAATTAAACCACATGGAAAAAAAAGATTCCAAATCTCTTCATATATCCTAGGGACTCCCCAAACAATGACCCCTACACAATGTAATTGTGGTCGCCATGCATTGGCCAGTGTTTTGCTACTGTCAAGGTTGCGAGGAAACCTGGTCTTGTTTTGGTCCAACCCGTCAATGTCGATTTTGAGAAGGTTGGATCCTTCAGTCTCACTGAGCACATCCAACCTATTCTGTATGAGGCGGTACTGCTGGATGTTGGTCAAATGCTGGCGCTGGTTGCTCTCCAGCTTGGACCGCTCCGACTCTGTGGTCGCTCGCTTGCACCGGGCGCTGAACTCTGCACAGATGGAGCACCTGACAGGGCTAAGTGCGAGAGACAGGGTAACTTGCAGTAATTGCTATTTATTTTTTATGGGACTTGGGAGGGAAAGACTATGGGTTCTAAATGTGCCACTGGAAGTACAAACCACGGGCTAAAATTAGTCATGGGTATTCAGGTATTCTACTGATAGGAAACTCATTGCAGTTTTTGGTAAAACCCCGCACCGTGCATGCTGGGAAACAGTCCGCATCTTAAGCTTCCTTCCCTTTCCACGTGGACTCATACACTTCCCTGAAGCATCGTGAGCTGGCAATCTCATCTTGTGGCACAGCAGCCCCCTCACACCACATTGTGTACACTTCATGGAAAGACTCCACAGTCATGTGGGTCATGTATCGAGGATGTAAGCCTTGGAAAATTGAAAGTAAACCCCAGGCCCAAATCAGCAAATAGATTGTCAAAGTAGGATCTAGTCCAGCCATTAATAATGAAATCCCGAAATGCGTCATGATTTCTTTGGGTCCGACAGTCAGAAACCTCTTGCAATCTGCAGCCCCAGAACCCTCCCGCATAGTAGCAGCAAGTGGGGCACTTGCATTGGCAGATGCCAAGGCTTGCTCTGAGTGGACAGGCTGCCCATCCAAGAACGAAGGTGGCAAATCTGAAGATGTTTCACCTTGGCAGGGATGAGGGTGCCAGGAAACAAGTAGGATAACACAGTAACTCAACTTTAATATCTTTAAAGTAAGTTGAGATGATATTGGGGAATCAAATTCCAGTTGATTGTTTAGGGATCAGTGATTTGATAGAAAAGGGAATGAAAAGTCGCATGAACAGTTCTTCTGGTTCAAGGGACTGGGCAAGAAAATGCCAGATGTGCACATCGCTGCTCCTTGAAGTTCTTCAAGCGGTGGGGTTTGAGCCAATGGTTCTGCCTAGCCATGCGTTTCCCATCAGTAGAAAGACTTGCTAGCTTGAAAAAACTTGGTAAACTGTGGGACAAACATCGGTGTGGACCAAAAAAGAATAAACAGCATCAATTTTTCCCCACCTGCCAGGTGAGGGTTGTTAGATTTTATCACAGTTGTTCTCCTCCTCCGCCTCCTCCTCCTCCTCATCCTCCACCTCCTTCTTCTCCTCCTCCCTCTCCTCCAGCTTCTCCTCCACCACCTTTGCATCCACTCCCATGTTCACTTCCGCCTTGCCAACTCTTCGCCAAGCTCTTTGCCAACTTCCGCACGCAGTGGGCACTGCTGGACCCGAGCTCAGTGAGCACCGCTGGACCTCAACCTGGGGCCCCCCGAGCTCAGTGAGCACCGCTGGACCTCAACGGCCAGATAGAATGCCAGAAGATATGCCAGATAGAACGCCAGATAGAATGTCAGAAAGAATGCCAGAAGATATGCCAGATAAAGTGCCAGAATGTTTGCCAGGTAGAACGCCAGAAGATTTGCCAGATAGAATGCCAGATAGAATGTCAGAAGATATGCCAGAAGATGTGCCAGATAGAGTGCCAGAATGTTTGCCAGATAGAACGCCAGAAGATTTGCCAGATAGAATGCCAGATAGAATGTCAGAAGATATGCCAGAAGATGTGCCAGATAGAGTGCCAGAAGATATGCCAGATAGAATGCCAGAAGGTATGCCAGATAGAATGTCAGATAGAATGCCAGAAGGTATGCCAGATACAGTGCCAGAATGTTTGCCAGACAGAACGCCAGAAGATTTGCCAGATAGAATGCCAGATAGAATGTCAGAAGATATGCCAGAAGATATGCCAGATAGAATGTTAGAAGGTATGCCAGATAGAGTGCCAGAAGGTATGCCAGGTAGAATGCCAGAAGATATGCCAGATAAAATGCCAGAAGATATGTCAGATAGAATGCCAGAAGATTTGCCAGTAACAAAACGTATAGATGTCATGGTGGGGATAACTCGAAGTAAAGTAATTGGAGGTGTCCTTTTTTCCTGTCTTTTGGGCCCCAAACCAGAGCAAAAAGGACACCTCACCTCCTACATATAATTTGGCGTTCTTGGTTTCATTTTACTTGTGGTTTAGAGGGCGGTGGGTAAAATTATCTATCTATCTATCTACCTACCTATCTATCTATCTATCAAGGTCAAGGGGCCAATAGAAGTATGTCATGAAAGCATCCACAGTCGCACTCTTGGCAGTTGGTGCACGCCCGTTGTACTTCCTTTGGTCAACCGGAATTGCATTCGATGAGATCCCAGGTAGCAATCGCAAGACCTTACAATGATGTTGGTCATGCAGAAACTATTTACAGCTCCTCCTTAAAAAAAGGCAGATGTTGATGGAAAACAAATGCCATCACTTATTAGTTGAGCTGCTGTGTAAAAAACACTGGAATCTTTCAGGGGCAAGAAAAATCTTTTGTTGAAGCACCCAGCTACCCGCTTTTCATTCACACCAAGAAGAGCGCAGAATGCTGAGCAGCAGAGTGGGAATCCACACAATGCATACTTCATGGCCTCATAAATGCCAAATCAGAAGATGAATGACACATAAATCAATTTTTAGCAGTAGACCCCTGAACCATACATTGGGTACCAACAATACAAGAAAGAACTTGCTAATTTCTTTCATTCCAGTTGCATTTTCTCGGTTGTCAGACCCAAGCTTTTGCAGAAGTCCCAGCACAAAGCGGTTAGTCTCCTCTTGGTTGAGGTCATTCATTTGCTTCCGGATGTCCTGTGCGCTGGGTGCGTTGCATGGCAACAAGAGGATTTTGGGTTTGGTGGTGGCTGGTGTCGAAGTTTTAAGGCATAGAATTGTTTTTTTGACAAGAATCAACAAATTGAATTTGATATGTTAGTACTAAGCATCCTCAGCCAACTTAAATGGCCTACCATATTTTACCAACCATGTCCTCAATGTTCTTCACTCTGTCAGAATTTGCCCGGTAGTGGTGGATGCAAAGTTTCGCACAGCATTTGACGGGTTTCTCAGAAGAGAGCCTCATTCTGAATTCCCAAGAATGAAAAATGGCAACATTTAAATAACATAATAATTATATGTGTGCAGTTGGGGGCATCCTTTAAAACCCCAAACCTTTCTGATTTGATAGCCTTCTCTATAGGTTTGATACTTGAACAAACAATAAACACAACCTAACTAACATATCAAATTGCCAGAGGTTTCAAATCATAGGATAGTGACTATGTTGACCAAGAAACTGATCATCCAGGAATTCAAGGCGCTTCCGGGCTGGAGTCGGGGTCTTGAAATCAGGAATGGCCTTGTGGGTCAAAGCCAAGAGATCTGGACCTGTTTTGATCTCTGGACCATGTTCATCATCCGAAGGCAGGTCTGCCATAGCAGCCACGGCGAGATGGCAGTTACTGTGAACCACCCAAATGAAAATGCAACCCCAAAACCCAGGGGCCAGGAGTGCCCTATAAAAACAATGTTTAGATATGATGTTGATCAGGAACCTGCTTTTGACCAATTCCCATATATATATATAAATACATGTGCGTGTTCCAGAATGTTATATACACATACTTCTTATGATTGGATTTTGGAATGGTATGACTAAGAATTTCAAAAAGCATTGCAACATCAAGCAATTTGGGCCAGAAATCTCAAGTATGTCGATGATTCTAGCTGCTTTCACCATTTCCCTTTTTTCCCACTTCTTGGAACTGCAACACCCTCTCCAGTCACTGTTTGAACTTGTAACTATTGGCTAGCATTTGGTTGGAGGGAATCTGATCACCAAAGAAGTATGGGATAAGTCGCGCAAATAGTTTGGGATCACATATATATATAGTAACAATATATATATATAGTAATATAGTAACAATATATATATATATATAGTAATATAGTAACAATATATATATATATATATATTTGATAATATATTTTTTAAATAATATATATATATATAGTATATATAAATACATATTTATTTATTTATTTAGTAATAATTTATATATATATATAGTAATAATATATATAGTAATAGATGAAGTGTTTAATGAAGTCCCATATCACCCCAAATCTTCAAACAACCAGGCAAATTGCCACTGCCCGTGCGTCCACTGGGAGCCCAGGCTGGCAAGCTGCCAGTGGGAGAAGTGCCACAGCTGCTGCTGCGTTGGCCGCTACCACCAGCTGCACTTCCCCCCTTCTGTAGAGTGGGCCCCTCTGGGAAATAAGCAATTGTTACACTTCTCAACCGGATAGTCATGCAGGGACGCATGAACAAATAACATATGTTTGAGGGTACTGATCAAGTTTGTAATCTGACCTGTGATATCTGGGATGTATCTGATATACAGATATATAGTTATACATATAATGGGTATCTATCTCTCTTGGTGGCATAGATGTCCTGGCTTGCGTGTTGGAATTTGTTCAATGCACGAGAGTTGAAGGTCTGCAATCTGACCCCAATTCAAATGATTTCCATCCCAAATCAAATTCAAAACTTTCATGGAATTTGCACCTTGTCACCACTTCACGCAGCCCTGAAGATGCGATTCGCAAAAAACGAGCCACAAGACACGTCCTGCCACGCAAAATGAAGATGGACACGCCCAAAGTGCTGCGCCTCCCACGCCAAATGACGATGATGGTCTCGAAAGTGTTGCGCCCGCCACGAAAAATGCAACGCGTCTGAATGTCACGAAGTGCCACGCCTGCCACGCGAAACGAAGCAACGCGACGTTTGAAACCTCCAAAAGTGACCCCTTTTGCAAAACTTACCATAGGCACGGCCATACGGTCCGGACGGTTGCGGACGGTTGCCGGACGGTTGCGGACGGTTGCGAACGGTTGGATGAACATAAACCCATAGGATCCATGTATGCTATATATGATAACATTTACCATCAATATACCCCCAATGTTAGCATATATACCATACATGGATCCTATGGGAAAGACAACAACTCTGCAATCACCCGAAATAACCAGAAATGACCATGGCATAAGCATGGCATCTATGTCTGCAACATTTCTTTCGCTGCAACCGCGCCTCAGTCAAGCCGTGGCAGCTATCCACTGGCCAAAGGTCGACTTCGTTATCCTCGGGAATGGGGGGGAATGGGATGTTCATATTTATATGGATTGGATATGATTGGATCATTCCCCAATTTCCATCTATTTCCTATGTACCTTTGCACCAGAAAGAAATGGATGCTGGAAGGCAAACATTGATTTTTTGTTCGGTCTTCTCCTATGTCAAAATCTTCACAGGCACACGTGTCTCGCGCAGACAACCAAAGGTATTGGATCACCATTGCAGATGATGACCTCCAATCAACCTACAAGCGCTCCATCGAAGCACACTAACTTGCAGTTGAGGCGCTGTAATATATGGAACGAGTTAGCAACTGGTTGAGCCGACAGCCGCCACCAGTTGTGGGTCTGCACAAGTAAAATGAACGCTGTGGCAATGAGCAATCCACTAAGAGCAGTGAAGAATCTGAGTGATTTTACCCGTGAGCATAGAACTGATCTACCACCCAGAAGGGAACAACAGTTTCAATTCTAAGGCACAGGAAGGCCCAAAGCGTGTGAAGGCAGCTTTATATTGATATGTTGTTCTTGCTAACTTAGAGTTGAATGGTTTTGCAAACGTCAAAACAACTTGACAAGCAACCTAGACTTCTCGTTTGATTTACTTGTCATGTTCTCTAATTGTTGTCTCAAAAGCACTGAAAGTCTCCTTCTGATGCATAGGTGATCAAATCTCTCAAATGAAATTCTACTTAAAAACAGCCAAAGGAACAAGCAAAAGCAGCAGGATGTCAAACTCCTCTTTGTCCACTTCATGCAAGCATGAATCACAGTGTCAAATTCGTCAGCACCAGTCAGAGTGAGAGGTACTAATTCGACCCGGGTCGTCCTTCCTAGCAAATTTTATGAAACAGCACTATCACACCTTAGATTTGGAAGTGGGCAACGAGAGGACAACCCTTTTTCAGTCGTATCTAAACTTTTGCATATTGGTCTGAAATTTGAGGATGCCTGATGATCAACATCAATATTTTCTGATCTTTGCCATATCAACATGCTGATCTTTGCCATGATCCGTTTCTCTGTCAGCATGTCATCTCAAGGAGGCAGCGGCCTGGGCATGGCGCCGTTGGACCCCAGGTGTAGACACTATAGTGACTCACCAAACAAGATCGAAGAGTATCTCATCACCATCACTCTTCTTTCAGTCGGATTTTGCTTTTCTATCTTCGGGGGTTGCTATGAGGCATCCCATGTTGAGGCTCCCAATTTTGAACCATATATATATATATATATATACATACGTATATATATATATATATATATATACATACGTATATATATACATACGTATATATATATATATACATACATACAGCTCCATATGTCTAGGTCTAGTCTTTATTCAAGGGCGCCTCATTGAGGCGACTTTGAAGATCCCCACTGCCATGGCTCCAATAGTCCCAATTTCTGGGAGAGTTACCATAAAACCGCCGTTGGAAATTAGTTACCTCCACGGTAATTCACATGAACGTACATAATGAAACCATTTCTGAAACCTACTTTTTCATGGTGCCAACTTTGCTTTTTGATTGGATCATTGAAATCCCCCAGTCTTCATTGGTTACATTCTATTAATTTCTATTAAGTCACAAAAAACCACCATGTTTTCTGGGCGAAATTCCCAAAGATCTTCCACAACTTCTAGCGTCCCCCGAGGGGGCTCGAGGCTCGAGCCTGCGCCTGGCCGCTTCGATGGCTTCCACCTGCTCAGTAAATATATAGGGAACATATAGTACATATAGTGTGTATTATAGTATAGTACATATATAGTATAGTATATATATTGGCATATAGTATCTGGTTGGTGCTTGACCTACCCCTCTGAGAAATATGAGTTCGTCAGTTGGGATGATGACATTCCCAATATGTATATGGAGAAATAAAAGCCAACCACCAACCAGTAGTATAGTACATATATACGGTAACTACATTTCAATATACGAACTGGTATTTTATACTACCTCCTGGGCCAGAGACGGTCTGGCCCGCCCTCCACATATTTAATTGTCGTTGCCATATATATAAATATATATATATATTTATATCGTTTATAATGTGTATACATATATATATATGTAATAATACACTTATAATTATCTATATAGTGTATATATATATATAACATATAATTATCAAATTATATATAAATGCATATATTATATTTATCATATATGCAACTGACATTGGGTATCTCTAATAATGTTGATGGTACAGTACAATTTATGTTTGTATGCATCACATAGTCTTGAGGAATCCCTATGCATGTGCACCTACATCATTAACTTATATTCAAGATGTCGTGTAGACACATGATCACCATCAAACTAGGTGCTGGTAGATGATAAGGGGCGTTTCTGTGCTGCTACCATAGTCAAAATCCTAGGGAACAACCGTGGCTGCATCACGATCTCAATCTACCCAACATAAGCCACCGCCCTTCCCTTTAACCTCATGTTTTTCTTATCTACGCCAAATCCATTCTAAGTCCAATCAACAGTATCAGTATCATCGGCAGGTGGCAAACCCTGTACGGAAGTTTCCTAAGTCATGGGGGGTACCCCAAATCATCCAAATCCAAGTCATTAATTAGACCATAACCATAACTTAGTACTGAAACTCATGGTGACCTGTTTTTTTTTCATTGGAAATCCACATATTCCCACGATTATGTCCAGCAATTTTGGCGGTCGCCATCTCTGGATCCGACACTGGAGCGGAACTCACGCTTGGACATGACACGAAGTGCTGAGACCTGGATGGCTTTGGGGACCCCCGTCGCGGTTATGAATACCTATAGGACCCTGTATGTATATGAATTATATGTGTATTATAATAATATATATATATATGTTTATATGATAGGTATCTTCGCTTGTTGTTTTTCTTTTTCTGACACAATAATGCGCAACATGTTTTTGTTTTAGCCATGTGAGATTCCAACGATTAGCCATTCATTCTTATTCCATCAGTGGATCAGTCATTCTGGTCAGTTGAAAGCAATCATTCCATGTTGGAGCACACAAAACAGCTTTGAACCCCAGACCCCAGAAGAGATTTAGCATTCTTTTGTCGTGATATATATATATATATATTGATTGATATATCACAGGGTTTCACATCCATACTTGAACCAATCGATGTGTATACAAACAAACAACTGGCATGGATCGGATTTTTGACTAGAATTGTCTGCAATATGCATCCCTACTGCTTCACATGTCTCAAGGACCAATCTGGACCCCTCAAAGGTACCAAGAAATGACCCCAAGATACCCCAAGTATAGGTCATTTGCCGATGGACGCGATGGATTCGTAGAGCTATGACATGAAAAACCCGGCCTAGCTGCACTGTGATCCGGCCATGTGGCATACAAAAACCACCGAAAAAACATATAAAACCAATCGAACACCAACAAAAACCAGGCGAAAAAGGGGGAATCCTACCTGCCATTCATCTCTTTCTCGCAAAGCTTCCTTCACGTCCTTCTCAGCTGCCACCAAACTGCTGTTTATGCTTGTGGAGAGTCAGGGTGTGCTTGGGACATGCTATCTGGACACATTGAGCAAATTGCTCTACGTGTTCGACGCCATTCTAAAGTAAGTACTGCAGGAAGGGACTGCAAGGAGTGAATCAAGCCACAGTGCAAGACCTGTTCGACTGCCCAGCAACCACCCAGTGAACATTGAACATCGGGCTACGCAACTTTGTCCAGAAATTCCGTTGCTCCCTGCTATGCACAGCCACAGCCACAGTCCTTCCGAAGGTTGTCTCGTTCCTCCTCGAGCGCTCGTACCTGTCACGTGTTTTTCCTTGCGGAAGGCCTAAAGCCAACAGCTGGGTCATTACATGGGGCGAAATAGGCAACAATGATGTGGTTGCAATCAACAATACATATTGAAAGTACAACCGAAAATAATGGTACCCCCAAATATGTTTGATGTTTCAGGAATAACTAGGCGGCAGGTTTCTTGGGTTCCACAATTCGAGGCCGCACACAACATAATGTTGCATATGTGTCTGCTATTTTTCTTGAAGAAGCCCAATCAGCAGCAAACCATCCAAGTTCGGAAATCGCGTCTTGACTGTGCTTCCAAGTATTCTGAATGCAAACAAACACAGGCATGTGATCCAGTGATTTCCGCGCTTGAAATCCTATCACAGCTAGATGTTGGCTTCCCAACCAGAGTCAGGTCATGTCAGATCCGGCCTGTTGCTTCAGTTTCTCAATCTCTTCCTCTTGCATGAACACCTCCACGCATCATGCAGCTTCGAAGCAGTGGGACCCAGTGGGAAGGGACTCTGGAAGAGATGGACGAGTCTGCCACAACATGACACCACCTTTCCTTGAGAGTTGGATAAACATGTTGATGACATGCGGCCTTGCAAATGAAGTGCAAATCTCTTGCATACTTCGAGAAATTCCAAGACTTCTGCCGAGAATTGATTTCTCCTGGAGCGATTCCAATGCACTACCGTTTTTTCAACATGGCAGTGTGTCAAAACCAATAGTACCCCTGTAGTTCACATCAAAATAGCTGGGATTTATGGATGTTCATTCCCCTAAAAATGGTATTTTTATAGGTATTGATCCATAGCCACATTCTTGTGGCAAACATCACCAGATATCACCAGGCAGGGACGAATCTATGACTTGGTGAATCATCGCCCCAGAAAAATCGCCCCTGCCTTGGAATTCCATGCTGCATGGCGGTCTTCACAGACCTGGCCATGGCCAGGAAATCCCATCGCTATCTACGCGGAAAAAAAAGGCTGCTTGGTAGGTAGAACATATAGCACTATATATATATATATTATACATGTACTATAATATAGAACATATATATATATTATACATGGTATATATATATATATTATACATGGTATATATTATAGTGCTATAGAACTTATAGAACTATATTATAGATAATGTATGATAATGTACTATACATGCCCACCCCAATATCCACACCGCAAAGGGGGAGAATGATGGAGAATGTACAATGCCTGCCGCAAGGTGATTCCCTCTATAACCTTCAAGCCCACTTTCAATGTAAGGTTTTCTTCAGCCTGGGTATGCACCTGGGGCCGTAAGCATCCTTCACTGAACGCAGTTTCATGTGGCGGATCCTCCTCGATTCCCAGCTCATTCAGGCCAGAAGTAGATTCTCTATGAGTAATACATATAGTACTATATGACTTATGTCGATATATACACTCGTATATCATATATTTCATAATTCAAATATGGCGCAAATAGCTAGTCAGCTAGTATATCTCTATATATATATATGATATAGTGTATATATATATATATGTATATATAATACATATATATATATATATGCCTATATATATAATATATAAATATATATATATATAATATACAGTATATATGCTCAAAATTGCTCAATTATGTCATTATAAGCTCCACCACTGCCCGCCAAACGACTCCTACAGTATCTGTCGTGTGCCGCCTTCAGATCGTCCAGAAACTGCTTCTGCTGCTGGAAGTACCAGGAGAGATCTTGAGGCTCCTACTGTAGAGACTTGCTGATTTCACGCCAGCCAAACCATCAAGCAAAATAAAAAAACGTGGAAACATAATATGCAAGTCAATATAGATAGCATCGGAAGGTCAAATTGGTCACGGGACGTGGAATCGTTTGATCAGATTTGCGCCGCAAACCTTTTGCTGTCAGCCATCGATTTAAATCCAAATGGGTATGGGTCAATACCTATAGATACATTTTTAGTGGGTTATTCACATCCATCAATCCCAGCTATGACTTGGGGTTCAACAGGGGTACCAGGGTTTTGAAGTTTTGACCCATCCCCAAATTGCCGCTGCACATTACTCTCGACCAATGTCCATGGACCGGTTGGATGTCACTTCTAGGCTCTTCACATGACCTGCGTCGCCGCCGCCGTGCCGTTGGTCCTCAATTCTTCAATTTGAATGTACTGAAGTGGGAAACTCATGGAAAATCCAATCATAAGCCAGCCAAATGTGAGCTTTTGGCTTGTTGTTCCTTAAACAAATCAGGTGTGTAATTGAATTTCTATGGATTTACCATGAATTCATCTCCAAGCGGCTCCGAGTGATCTGCTTCAAGTAGTTCTGGAACCTGCAGGCTGCTTCCACTTGTCGTTTCACAACATGCAGCCTGCATTTCATCTGACACCTGAGAACCTGCCCTCCACAAAGCCTTCTCTTCATCAAAGTCACTTCCGAACACGTCCCCCCAATACAACGCAGTTCGCATTCCAAATATAGCCTAACATGCTGCCAGAATGATCATCTTGGGACGCGTAAAAACAGGAACCTCATTTTGGCATCGTTCAAGGTCTTGACCCACACCATTGCCAAATCTCCTTACTGTCACCTTATTCCTGGTGCCCTAGATGTATATATACGTATATATACACTAGATAGATAGATAGATAGATAGATAGATTAGATTAGATTAGATTAGATTAGACTAGATTAGATTAGATTAGATAGATAGGTAGGTAGATAGATAGATAGCTAGACAGGTAGGTAGGTAGATAGATAGATAGCTAGATAGGTAGGTAGGTAGATAGATAATGATAGATAGCTAGATAGGTAGGTAGGTAGATAGATAGATAGCCAGCTAGATAGATAGATAGATTAGATGCATACACCCCGTGAATTCCATGGTCAAGCGGCCGCAAAGCATCACCATCACGTCTCCAAGCGCTCCAGTCTCCAACGCGCCGAAGATGAGGTCCTCGAGTTGAACAGGACTTGCGCAGAGGTGATGACAAGAAACAGATTAGGAGACCCCAAATCTTGTTCGCTGCCTGATGAGATGAAATTAACTGCTGATAAGTTGTTGAGTGTCTTATGTTTGAGTTGTTGAGTTGTTTTGAGATAGCGGTTTGAGATTATGTTGCGATTTCATGCAATCAAGCAGCTTGGGAAACAACCAGAATATGAATCCTAAAACTCTGAACTCATCGCACAAACGACAGCATCGCCCCAGCCAAAAGGATCTCCTTTCCAATATGAGTTTCATCGTATGGAAGGCCTCAAGAGAGGCAGAATGGCCAACTGAAACGTAGCCTCGCACGTGCCTGCCGCGGTGCAGGAAAACTGTGGAAACGTATGAAGGAGCAAGCCGTGCAAATGTGGACTGCGCAGCATTTTCTTAAGCCAAGATCAGCCATATAAGTCATCAAATTTCAGATTCTTTGAGAGTCAGGGATCTGGGGTTTACTCTGATCTTAAGATTTGCTTCAGCTGGATCAGCTTCACCATCTCTCAAACCAAGACAAAATAGAAAATTCCTGCAACTGATCAGGAGCCAGTAATGACAGTAATGACCAGCACAGCACTGGCCTCTTGAGATTTGAATACATGGCTTCTTGGTTGCTACAATCCAAAGCAGAAGTGGCTTCGTCCAAAATGGCGAAGGTCCTCAGTGGCAAAACTCAGCAGATCGCCGAGTTTAAAAAACTCAGCTGGGTGGTCCAAAGTTCGAAGTTAGGAGACCACAACTGGATTGATCCTTTTCCCATAGGATCCATGTATGGTATATATGTTAACATTGGGGTTATATTGTTGGTAAATGTTATCATATATAGCATACATAGATCCTATGGGTTTCAAGTTCTTTGTCCAAATTTGGGCTGCCCAAGAGCTAGCCAGCCCTGCATGATGCACGCATCATCATATAAATGGAAATGGTCTGCTGCAGTTCATATGTGGGTTGCATGTACAACTTAGAGCCGGATGCAGCATGACTATCACAGCAATAATTCAATCGAACCTGTACATAAACCATGATGTTCAGTGTTCATTCCCATCCAAATCTCAAAAACTGTTGGATTTTATTGATCAACCATCAACGTTCATCACTGACCGTCACTCATACCGTGACCATTCATGAACACCACAACAATAACAATAATGGCGACAAATAGTGGTCATCACTGTAATACCACAACCACAAATCATGTATATATATATATAGGGGAACCCCCAGCCTTGAGCCTATATAGATATATGATATAGAATGACATTCAATCAACATCATCGTCATGATCATGAGATCATGATCATGATCATGATCATGATCATCATCAGCAGCAGCAGCATCAGCATCAGCATCATCATCATCATCATCAACATCATCATCAACCACCATATTTTGCAAAATTAAACAGTTCAGAACATCATGGAATTTCATGCACGGAAAACCATCTGGGTTTGTCTGTGCAGTCTGATAAGTAAAGTACCTCAAAATCAAATGGTTGATTGATGTTGTTTTGTTTCCCATTTAAAGGGGCTCGGCTATATAGTTCGATGGATGTGGGTCAAAACCCTGTACCCCCAGTGAACCTCAAGGTTGATGGTCATCCCTTATACCACATGATTAGTAGGTTTTGACCCATACCCAGATCTATTTTGGGGTATACCCCATTTTCAGACACACCCATATCCCCGTCATGATCACGCCATCGAGCATATCGAGCTGCGGTCGCTTCAACAGCAACCGGGCGAAGCCCAAGCGTTGCCGTTCCCCGCCACTGAGGCAGCTGTCAAAGTCGATGGCCACATCCAAACCTAACGGAAGTCTTGGGGACTAAAACTAGGTCAACTATTGTAACTATTGTTTATGGTAGATATATCTGTATAGTTTATAATGGTTTAAAAGCCAACTTTGAACTGGGGGGCACTACCTTGTGGAGATGTGTTTTAATATTGAAAACATGGAATATCGGAATATCATGGCTCTCGAAGAAAAATATCTCATCATATTTATATAGCAAATTTCCAAGAAAATCAGAGTGTCTAAGATTTGGGGTTTGATATGGAAAATAAAAACATAAATTATACCTGTGTGATGGAAGTCTGCAACGGCAATCAGAAATCGACATTATGGATCCTTTTGGATCCTGTGTGGTATTCGGCAATTTCACAGACACTGATGATCTACATCCTAGCTCAGGGTGATTCATATATATTTCATATATTATATTACAGTACATCTATAGTCATCTATTATCATCTATAGTCTATAATGCGTAAAATGAACATTCTTGACATTCTTGACATGATTAAAGGATATTAAATGATATGAATAGGTGATTGATGATAAAGAGTCTGATGAACTCCCAAACCAGACGCCATCGAATCAAAGGATTTCTCGAAACAGCGCCTAAAAAACCACTGGGGAGATCGTCGATGCACCAGTCATGTCAAGGTAATGTTTAAAGCCCCACAAAATGGATCGAAATCGGACGTTGCTAAAACCGCGTTTGTAGGTACCCTCTGGTAAACAGCCACATAGCTATTGAAAATGGCCATAGAAATAGTTGATTTACCCATAAAAATGGGTGGATTTTCCATAGTTATGTAAACGTTTACCAGAGGGTAATAAATATACAAACCAATCCAAACATGGTTCCTGCCTGCATGTCTTCAAGTAGTCACCACAAATCAACCGCCCAACGTTGGACCAAAGCAGTTTCTCTGAGAATGGGACCAAAGCGTTGCACCAAGTAGGACAAGTTCACCTTGCCAAAACATCCAAAAATAGCAGAACTATCAGACACATTCTCCAATTGTGGGTTGATTTATATTGATTTATAATATATATATATATATGTATAATATGTATATATATATTATTATATATATATATTATTTTATATTATATATATTATATTATATTATATATACACGTATATTATATATATATATTATATTATATATATACGTATACAGCTGGAAGCCTAAGTCATGACCCAACCCTACTTCCTCATGGCACCGCTCTTTCCAGAAGTCATGCCTAAGTCATGCCCACCTGGCATTTCAGCATGGCACAAGTGTTAAATAGATGTCCAAAAACCCCGTTTTGGCATGGAATATATAGCTATTATTAGAAGGCTCAAATAGCATTGTATGAAATAACTAATGATTAAGGAATGAGGGAAAAGGCACGACATCCTGAAACCATTTGTGCTGAAAAAGTGTGCAAAAATCAACAACAAAAAGAAACGACTTAAGCTGTTCCCTGTAATCTCACTGAATTCAAACGACTCACTAATCTGAATTTATACCTTTTATCATGCGGCTGGGGATGATTCCCCCTCCCAAAAAATCACCACCTTCATCCCATCCCGATTGTATCAAACAGCCCCATTCTATGGTCCCACATGATTAAATAAGTGGCTTCATCCCCTATAAAAGCATGGTTTCTAGGAGGTCTTTAATATTAGGGGGAAGGGACTAGATGTTCAATGGAGTTCAATGGATTTTCATGGTGCTTTTCCCCCATACGAAGAAGCAATTACCAACGCCTGGCCTTTTCCAGGGCTTCCCGGATCTCTCTGTCACTGGGACCGTCGCTGCCTTGTGCCTGATGCGCTGGCAACAGCCATGGGTGGATCACTGGGACAACTGGGATTTGGGGCAAGAAATGCCCAGCTGAGAATTGGGAAAGAAACTTGTCCATATTTGTCCACTCAAAAAAAGTGATTTATGTGATTTTGCCATTGCATAAGACATGCAAACGGTAAACACTTACATTACACTTACTCTTGAAATCCCTTCAGTGTGTAGCCCAGGATTCCCCAGAAAGTCAGTGTTCAACACTGATCCAAGAGGCAGGACCTGCCCCCGTCCTCCCGGAACCAACATCCCAACCATCCCATGGCAACCTTGGGATAGGTCGCGTTTTCACGAAGGGAACCCAAACATAGGTACGTCTCCTCATCACGGTGACGACAAAGGCAGACTCACTGTGCCTTCCCCATCAGAACCCGAAATACATATATTGAGATATATGACATATATATAAATAGATAAAGACATGTTCAAACTGAATTTGAGGTACAACAAGTTGAATAATCCCTTCATCCTATTACTAAACCTGATAATTGATGAAGGAATTAATCAGCTGCTCACTGAATCAATCCTCGACACACAGCGTGGAGCTCCTGAGGCAAGAAGAACATCTCCTTTTGAGCACAGCGATGAATTCTTCCGCTGCCTGGCAAGCAGAAGAATCAAGAATCATACAAATAACATAAAAAAAATGCATACGATATCATATTATATCCGATTGTACTTGATTGACTCAGTATATTTGTGTACATGTATATGATATATATATATACTGCACTGTATATTAATAATAATAATAATCATCATCATCGTTATAATAGTAATGTGCATGTAAATATATATATATATATAATCATATATCTGTATGCCACAATACAATTCGGAGTTTCGTTTCGGACTCTGATCTAATCTAGCGAACGCGGCGACATATTGTTCCTTTAAACAACTGACAGCAAGTTGCCCTGCAGTCCAAACAACATCACCAAGCTCAACTTTGACAGTCACTACCAGGGCCACATACAATACTTCAAGACCTGCCAACTCCTTGGTTTCCCGCATCTAAAATCAAGAAAAAACAAGAATTGTTAAACAAATGAGCGGTTTCTAGTTGTAACGCATCCCATTTTGGGATAGCCAAGGAGTTGACCCATTCCCAACTGCTTACATCGTCACACCACAAGGGAGTCTCCCGGCATCCCAGGATGTCCAAGGATGTTCCCCAGCCTCGGTGCCACAGCCCAGCAATGCTACGAAGCAGGGAGCTCTTTCCCACACCACTGGGGCCGCAAAGCATCAAGGCTTCGCCTGGCGACACGGCGAACCCGGCACTGACCTGGCACATCCTGGCACTCAGCCACACTGGCAGAGTGGCTGAGTTGCTGCACGTAAAATTTCCACCCACATGTGCTCAATCTAATACTACATCATATTATATATATATGATCAACTTATCAGTACATTGTTAACTTGACACTTTGTGTGCAGGTGTTGTACAAACCCAGCAATTGATGGTGGTGAAGTGGATCCGCCAAACAGCGAGGAAACAACTTCTGTAATTGAGTGTGCTTTGCCAGAAATATAAGTGATGTGAAAATGAGCATGCACAGTTATATATACTTACATACACATATGTATATCTATATATACACATACCAATATATACACATATCTACACAAACTATACATGTATATATATATATATATAAACGTACACATATTATATACTATACACATATAATTATACACATATATAATACACATAGATAATACACACAAGCAATGAGTGCACCATCAGCACCAATCAAGGCTACCTTTATCAGTTTACACTGCCACTTTGCTCAGCCGATGGAAAATTTTGCGCCTGCTTTCACTTGCAGAGTGATCTGTTCGACCAAGGGCCTGTGGCCCTTGGGTGTGAAAATGGTCAATTCATCCAGCTGAAGCAAGACCTGCACCAGCTCGGAAGCTGTTCCGGTTGGCCCTGGTAGGAGAGCAACCTCATAACCGTTAGCTTCAAATCGAAATCCCGAAAAAAACTGGCATGTCTTTGAAAAAAGGACGTAGTGACGTAGTGTTTCAAAGTGACAATCTTCAATGTGAGAGCAGTAGCCAACAACTGGATGATGATACCATGTACCCCTGCAAAATGAAGATCCTTCAACTTCAAAACACATGGCGCTGACTTGAAATTGTCTACCCCGATAGTTAGGAAGGCAAAACCCAACAAATAGTCAATACACACATATATAAATATATGTATACAAATATCATCAAATATGATCAAATATCATCAATTATCATCAAACATCATCACTTATCATGAATTATATATCATCAAACACTATCTAATATTTTCGAATATATAACCAATTACAAGAAAAGAATCATCATTGCAGTTACAAACGCCTCTGTTTCCGCATCGCGCCGTTCACCGTTGCGAATTTCTGTCTTGATCCCAGTGTCATCCATATCTGTCTCGTCCTGAAGTCAAGAACGTCTCAGAAGTCCTTCCTCCTTTGCTCCGACACAGAGGGCGACACAGAAGGATGTATTAAATCGTGTCAACAATTGCAGTATAGAATAGCGCAGTCCCATACGCCAAACGGTCCATAACGGTCCATGGTCGACTTTGCACTCATCACTTTTCTTTGCCAAGCGTCAAGCATATCCCAAAGCTGCTGAATACGGATGGCTTGAGCTCCCATGTTGGTGATAGCATCTGAGCGCAGAATCCGTCACGACAACTTTCACCTGGAAAGCCTTGCCAATTCTGATAGATACATAATTGTGTATATATCTACAAATAATACGCATGGTACTTCATATCAAATGTACAGGCATAGACATACCACGCCATGGTCCAAAGATGGTGTATACATATATGTATATATATATACAGTATATGGTATGGTCATCCATCCCATGCCATGGGAATCCAAACATGATGGTATAGTATAAATCATAATCAGATATGCAAATACATAATATGGATTGATGACAATCTCCCACTTAATTAGGTACATAATCCAACTATTCGTTATAGCTGGCAAAACATATCCAAACTAAGATCCCCAAAATATATCTTTATTAGATCTAATAACCCCCAAAAAGATAAAATACACATGAACACACTATATTTACCATGACTATTATAGTACGCTTTGGACTGGTAAGTTTTGGCAGGATTTTCCTGGTTGTTTACCCATCTTTCTGGGAAAAAATATAATATTTCACTAAGCGGAAATAAGGCCACCAATCTTCGCCAATTGGGGATGATTCCCCCTACTAACCATGATTCCAATATATTCCAGTGTCACAGTGAGGCACAGATCTGTCGTACCACGGTACCCATCTGCGTCACCAGCGTCGTGAAGGCTGCTTGCAACGCTCCCAGCACCGTAGCAGCTTCCATCATGCCCCCAAAGTCCATGGACCCCGAGAAATATTTACCTCGCGGCAAAGACAAGATTGAAAAAGGAAGGTTTAATATGGTTTAATGGGGATTATCATGGGGATAATAATGGGATAATGGGATAATTATGATTAACCCATGTAGTTTCATGAGTTTGTCGAATTTTCTTGGGGGTTAGTCACTGGGATACCCGGTATTTAAGGATGGCCTCACTGATTTAACCCAGCTGGTAATCATCTTCATGGCGAGCTAAGACATCCCCGGCAAGCCATGTTTGATTACCTTGAAATGTGGGGTTTTAACATGTTCTACCGCGTGAAACATATCATAAACTCGGGATCATTGTCATAATCCCAGTTTGAAGGATGGAAAATAACATGAAATGAAGATGAGCACATTGAAACAACCAGTCAGGGAAAATACAGGGATTTTTTTTGGCTGTTGAATCATGGATCAAAACCATGGTCCCATGGTACCCTTAAGGAACAGCAAACTATCATACAGCGGTTTATGAGGCTATTCTGTTCGAGGTCTTGTTTGATTTTAGGTCCATGGAGTTCCCCCACAAGCCCCTAAAAACACCACAGAGATCCTATACAAAGACCATGGGTACCTACTGAAATCCCATTAAAACCCAGTCAGTCTCCAAAGGTTTCCTACTCAAAACCAGCGAGCTTGGGCAATCAGCTTTTTGCATGTGGGCATGTTGTCTTTGATCCAAAATGCTTTTCTAAGTAGAAAATCAGTGGCAAGCACCCACTGGTTCATCCATCCAAAGAATTAAAATCTGCAACAAATATCCATAAAAATCCCATCAAGCACCAACGAAGATTTCAACAAGAAGGCCCTCAGCAAGATAGCCCCTTAAACCACCCTAAAAAACTAGCTGCTTAAAAGAACATGTTCATTCCCGCAAAACGGGGCATCATAGGGGACAACAGATTCTGGTCATTTTTAGCATGTATCCATCTGAAGTCTCGCACACCCAATTTTGACCCACCCCTTGAAGATGGCACTAAAAATGATGAGACTGGGGAGATAGCTCGAAACTGTTTGACCTGAGTGGGGCTATCCAATCTCCCCCAAACTTGTTGCAGTTTATGATTAAGAGGTGGGGGTTGAAATGGGACTTTAACAAAAGGATGAGATAAACGGGACAAGATAGAGATTGATGGAAGCTGGTTTCTGGTGGCATTAGGTAGCAAGCAAAAGGTTTGTGACATTTCAAGTGCGATTGTACATGGTTTCGTTTCCTGCGGGCCAGTTGAGTGATTGATGACTTGATCTATACATCATATAATCGTCATATCATATACGGTAATCATCGTATTATCTGGCTAATTTCATTTGCTACATTGCTACACATTGCTCTGTTCAACCGGCCCAAAGCAGCCACGCAGCCGCGCACCTGCCAAGACAACGAATGGGGCCACATTTGCCACATACCTCGGGAACCAATCAACTCCCGCTGTGCAGTTGGTGGACTGACTCAGCCGAGAAATAGATTGGGCCATGATCTATGCCAACTCTCCATGACTCTGCAAATTGGCAAACCTCTTGCAATACGAATGTAACGTAAACTGTTTATATAATTACATAAATCAAATCAAATCTCTTGAACACATAAAGCCAATCTCCCAAGTTTTCTGATGTTCTTCTTTCTCAACTACTTGCTTTCTGCTAACTGTGCCCAGGATACATTGCAGCTGCCTCGATCATGCCGAAACTGATTGAAATGGCCAACAGTCCTCAGCGGGATGATCGTACCAGCAACCAGCTGGGGTAGCGTCAACATAAATCAAGATAGCCTCTGGTAAACAAACATAACTATGGAAAATCACCATTTTTGATGGGTAAATCAACTATTTCGACTGGGCCATTTTCAATAGCTATGTGGCTGTTTACCAGAGGGTATGGACAACAACCATAGTTACCATAGTTCAGAAATGACCTACAAACCAATGGATATCAATGGTGGATTCTCTCTATATATGTTGACTTTCTGCCGGCTAAATCATCAAATTTTACTCAGGTGCAACCAAAACACGATCTAATGTTCCTAAAACAATAGTAAGTTATCCCCAATTTACCATTTTTATCAATTTTTATGGATGGTATAAACATCTATAAAACATAAAAAAAACTCTGGCTGGTTCATTCCCCTGTTTCGCCCTGACGAGCGGGCTATGACGAGCGGGCTATGACGAGCGGGCGAGCTAGGGCGAGCCCGGGTCGGGGTACCGAGCTTCGGTACAAGGTGCCCATGAGTTTGGCGAAAATCTCCTCACCTTGGCCGCTGTGAATCTTCATCCAACCCAATATTTGTATATTGAATATATCACTGGAGATCTATGGATACAAAGAGATAAATATTGTGGGATATGTATGTATGTATATATATATACATATATATATATATACATATTATACACACATTCAATCCAATATCATCCGATATGTATATATATATATATATATTGAATCCAGTATCATCCAATGTGTGTATGTATATATATATATTATATACTGTATATATAATTATATATATATGACAAAAACTAGAAAACATCTGAAAGTCAATTCTTCATCCCAATGGATCGTGAATCCACATGATTACTGCAGCACCTTTTCATGCAAACGATCCAAATGCCAACACAACCAAAATATGTATAAACAACTAGTGTAAAAGAAAAATAAACGGATTGTTAACTGATTTAATGCAAATTAATTCAACTGTACAAGAGTTGTGTACTTCAGTTTGTTGATCTATTTGATTTCGTTCGTCTCAAAATGAGCTAAACCGTTTAGGAGACTCAGGACATAATTCAAGTTTTTCCGAGATCTTTGCAGGAACCATAGACCCTGCGACACGGGTTGCCGTGTAACATCGTTGTAGCTCAAAGTGATGTCCATCGAAAAAAGCCACCGGCTCGGCATGTTCACGCACCTGAGCAAAACGAGCCAAAACTGGGGTGTGTATGTATGTATATATGTATATATAAACATATTCAGGAGTAGGAAACGATATATCATGGACTGTCATGGCTATATGATGGATATATATATATATATATGTCAATGTATACACATATTTAAAAAATACACAAAACAAAGACAATGGGATACAATATTGGTTTATTATATAAATCCCTATAAATTGGACACCCAATCATACCGGAGTCTTGTCGTAGCAAATCTGGCTGTGTCTTGGCACGTCAATGGCCCCACGTCAACCTAGCCGCTGGACAAATTCACCCTTGCATGTGTTCGACTATTGGCATCCCATATCCAAGGACCCCGCCCAATAGTTATGAAAATTATGAAATGGCTATGGGTCAATACCTATACATTTTTAGTGGGATGAACATCCATTTACCAGCTATTTTGGGGTTCACTAGGTACCAGGGTTTTGACCCATCCCCAAATGTTGTAAACCAGCTCTATAGATAATCCTAGTCATGGAATGTTATGACTTGATGTGGCTGATATGACTTTGTCCAAACAAAACTTCATGTACCAATCTACGTGCTCCATTCCATGGCATAGCACCCCCGTTTTGAGACCCATGACAAACCAATGTAGGGAGGGACCAGACAAACATTCAAAAATAGACATGCGATGTTGATACAATGGGGAAAACAATGGTTTGGGGTGCCCTTATCGGAATATGATGGACTCTCATGGCGGCTTTTCCGCATCTATGTTAGTTTACAGGAGGATACCCATAGTTTAGTGGAGTTTATCAAATGTCTTGCTATGTGTGCGTGTGTATATATATATATATGTATATATATTGATAATATAGACATAAAATATTATATATAATCGTTTTTGTTAAAAAGAACAACTTAGTGTATATTATATGATATGATATAATATAACAATAAATGTTATGTAAATTATCGTATATTATACTATATATAGAGAATGTCATATGAATATAATATATCATGTATGCTATGTATAATATGTATATTATGTATAATATCTATATTATGTATATTATGTTATATATATATATTATCTATTATATATTTGTTAATATGGTTCCCCAATGGTTCCCCCATGGCTCCAGCGATCCAAGGCGCGCGCACCAGAGTGAAGCGAAAGGACGCCTCTTGCGCCAGCACCCGACGTCGTAGCCGAGTGAAGGGACCACCGAAGATGGCGAAGGACAGGACGTTCCTTGCGACATCTTGCGACGGATGCGGATCCCCATGGGATGCACCTGGGCCTGAAAATCCAGGGCTTTTATCATGCTGCAGTAGATGTTACTGTCTGGTAAATTAACAGTTTGATCCTGAAAACAGCCATTTTTGAGTTGAAACTAATTTTCCAACCCCTATCTGCCAGGGTCTATGTTAGTTTACTGAGGTGTAAATGATATTAACACTGGAATATTGAGGGGTATACCGTATATACCCAATTTTTAGTCACAGCCACCTGGGGAGAAGGGGATATCTTGAAGGAACATGGGGATATGTTGATGGAACATGCCTTTGGGGATGTGTTGAGGATATATTGATGGAACATTAAGATTGAGGAACAAGACCAAAGTAAAAGGATTGAGCATGTCTTTGCATCTTTCTGCGAGGAGCTTTACTGTTTCCAGGTCTTGTCCTGCTGGAGTCTCTGCTACCAATGTTCAAGATTGAAACTGGACCCTGAGCTCGTTAATATATTTAATATCGTTAATTAGATGATCAAAGGATGCTCGACATGTCCAGCATGCTGCAGCAAATGGTTCAGGTGTCGTTCACGACTGGCTGGCTGTTTCAACCCTTCCATTGGATAATTGTGTACCGAGCTTCATTGTTCAATATTGTTTATGGTTCAAGTCCCGAAGCCCAATGATGATCATCCAACTCAGTGATCACCTGGTAGTATGGAGGCACCTACTCTGTCCGTGCTACAATACGAAATTCTCACAGGCACAAACAGCACAGGAAATTTGGGAAGAACCATTTCATTATTCACTCATTCCCTGAGCGTCCATCATCTGCAATCATCTAGCCAACATATGATTCTCTCACCAATCATCAACCGATGTTCAACCAATCGTCAAAAATCCTCCTGTTCCTCCATCAACATTCATCAACCATCACCAGCATATCACCAGCATGGCCAAGCGTCAGAATCAATGAGTACAGCACAATGAAGTAGAACAAATCTCTGGAGATCGAAATCAAAATGCCAGATTGCACCAGAATCAATAGCACCTGTTGAGCCACGGTGGTCACAAACTCCAACAACCTCAGCGACTCGCGAAGAGGATACGTCCATTTAAAAAGAAAGAAACACATCATTTAGGATGGTTAAGTTATTGTTAACTGTTTGTTAACTCATAGTTCTGCATGTTTTTTTTTTTTTTTATAACAATGTCGTGCTTAGACACATTATGTATATATATATATGATATATATGTATATATATATGATTATAATATGACTATATATGCATACACCATAAATTGCGGATATGATGGAGGAAAAAAACACCTGTCTTTCCGGGTGCCTTTTGAACTGCTGTTTCTTTAAAACTGGTCATCACTTTGGACCGTCCAAGTCACACATCAGTGAACTCGCCCGTGTCCTGTGGGTCAAGGATGGTCAAGGTATCTCTGTGTGTATATCTATATATTTATATAATATATATATATATATATATTAACAAAATGCTCTTACCTAGTTGGTTGTTGTGTTCCAATTTAGAAATACTCCCAAATTCATCCGAATCTAAAACTGCAACTGATACATCCAATGCTTGAATTACCTAGAGATGCTATACTTTACATCAATAGATAGATCTATATTCCACTAGTTTCCAAATCCGATGCTCTTTGATTTCGCGGAATTGCTTGGTAGTTGGGGCCCCAATCCCACGATGTATCTGTTCAACGGGCGTTCCGAAGGCCTCGCAAATTGCGATCGCAGAGATTTTTTGCACGGACTACGGCGTTCCCAAAAAGATTGCTCAAGTGATTCCGATTCATTCCGATTCATACTATTTTGATGACCAGGTGTTTTTAGTATTTTTTATTTTCGAGAGACCCCGAGACCCCTGGCCCAAATCCAGCTCTCACTAACCATCACGAAGCCATCTGGACTCTGGACACCAACATCCAGGTACCGCCGAAGACCGCGCCTGCGCAATACGCTGATCTGGATTATCCAGGCCACGTCCCAAGAGTTTCAGACCTGAAGTGCCAACCGAAGGTGGGTGGTTGGACCAGAAGTTGGGGGTTTGGTACCCCCAAAAAAGGTAGAAAACCATGGAAAAGCAGCAAGGATCATCAAACATTGCGGTATCATTGCGGTTTAATGGTTGAGTTACTAGGACTTCAAGGTACCCAAAAACCTGCTACCTCCACTTCCGAGTGCTCGTTGGCATATCCCCTGCGATCTTGAGTGGCTATGGTTTTGCCTGCCCTCGTTCAGGAGCCTCTGAGCTATGGGAGAGTATGCAAGGCCAACTTGTCCATATGGTTGACTTGAGGCTTGGGGGATGTCAAATGGAAATGCAAGACTTTCAGAGCTCGTTGGTAGATTTTCCTGAAGCTACATTGTACCAATTGGAAAACAGCTAGTTAACACAGAACGCTGCTCATCACAACCATAGTCTCACTGAATTATTGCTGCCTACTTCCGTCTACTTTGCAAAACATTGCAAAACAACGTATCCTCCATACATGCCATGTCAACACCATGTAAAGCCGCTAAAGAAACACCTCAAATTGGAAGAACGAGCATGCAACAGGCTCCATCATGATAACCCATGAGGTCATTTCAGGCCATTCTTGGAGCAGTGTTCAAGACCCCCGTGTTGTTTCAAAAAAGACTGCCTTTTCCTGGGCTACTATGATCCCCTTGGATAGAAAATACCGATTAGTATATATGTTTATTAATCTGTTAGATCTGATTTATAGATTTGGTTTAGTATGATCAAGATCATTCAAGATCCCCTCTTGATTTGATTTAGGTCCTCTATAGCCATCTATAGCCTATCATCAATCAACAGTGCTCGGTCAGGGGACGGTAGTAGAGCTTCTTCTCATTGATGTAGCGACTCCTTGGTCCAGTCGTGGAGCGATGCGATGCGACCATCCAAGGCATGACCCGCCAGGTACCGGAAAAAAAAAAAGCTGCCCTGGAAGCACCGTAAACTCATGATAATACATCATAATACTGTATGATAATCAAAAAACTGTCTAATTTAAAAAAATATAATTACAGTAATATGATAATCAAAACTAGGAAAAACAACAAGTTCATGCAGGTTGCTGCAACACTGGAGGTGGAATTTCTTGCTATTGGGCTCAGCAGAGTCCTTTCACGAATAGAATGAATAGTTAGGTCAGAACTGCCCTTCGTCGAACGAGCAAAAGTACCATGTCTCTCGGTGTAGGTTCACTCTTAAAAGCCACTGCCAAGCAGCAACAACATCTGTGTGAGGTATCTACGCCATTCCAGTGATAAAGTGCCACGAAGTAGGAAGCGCATCCCAATCACTGGCATGATCAAGAACACCACCTCACGCACTGGCGCAGAATCTAGTTGGTGGTTGAATCACCCATTCCCAAGAGTATTGCGGCAACATTTCAGGAAGGGACAAGTTCTCCCAGGACTTTCCAGGTAAGGAGACTCATGAACAAACTTGTTAAAACGTGGTGAAACAACATTAATGACTCACCAAACAGAAATATCCTCCTAGCCTCCCCCGTACCCTTGAGGACCAGTTCTGTGGTGCAATGGGTCAGGCAATGATGACCATTATAAATAATCCGCAATCTGGGTATGGTTTAAGGTTGTCATTGATATAGTGAATGACATCAATGACCTTTGGGTCTATCCATTATAGATAATCCAATAAATGACCATTGTAAATTTGGTTTAAGATGTCTACACATTCTTCCGCTTGGTCTATCAGAGTCTATCAATGGGTCAGGTCATAAACCAAGCTTCTTTCACGATCTTGAGCTGTGCAGCGTAGAACCTGGGCGCTTCAGATGGCGCGCCAGGGGAGGGGAAGATGGTGGATATGGGCCTAACATAGCGGTACCCTCCAAAACTAGATGGTTACGCCACAACCACTATTTGAGTCTTACGGTCCAGATACGACAAGTAGCCAACACTGTCTTCAGTTAGACCCTGGTTCGTACAAAGCTTGCAGTATGCAGCAATCACGAGACGAAAGTGAATGCTGCGGCTATCTTGGAACACATGAATAGCTTGCAACTACCAAAAAGTATCTGGCTATCAAATACAGATTTTGAATTCGTATGAATTCATCATAGTTCATGGAGAGCAACAGAATATCAGCCACTAACATCCACTAACCCACTACCCAAGCATACTGCTAGCAATTCCTTCAGAAATTCCAAGTGACCGATCCTGGTCCTTGTCGTGCAAGGCGTTCTGAAACTCGCGCAAAGTGCTCAAGAACAGCATGGACTGCACAGAAAATACCACCATGGTGACCTCGGGATGGTGAGGTCTCTGCCAAAGGATCCCAGCTACAGCATTTGATCTTCATTGGAACGTTTAACTGGTTGGTCGTGCAATAACCATCTTGAAAAATATGAGTTCGTCAATGGGAAGGATGACATCCCATATAAAAAATGGAAAATTCCAGTAATGTTTGAAACCACCAACCAGATAATGGAACCACTGTCTACTTTGAAGACTTTGACCACAAGACCGATGGCGTTCCACTTATTTCAAGATAACTAGTTGACTTCAAACATATTGCACCGCATAGTCATATACATTCATGTACCATTATACTCACCAAAATGATCGCTGGTGCTAGAAACATCTTAAACTAGAATTGTCAACTTCAAAAAGCTCCAAAGCATGGCTGTTTCCAAGTGCCAAGACTCCACCAGCGCGGAGGCTAGCCTTAAGACGCAGGAGCCGCAGGAGTGCACATCCTGCCTCCCTCCATACCAATCCATTCCATGTGTTTTGAGATATTTTTCTTCTCTTCAGGTTGTTGAAATAAACATACGATCTATATACAATATATGCATATGTGTATATATATATGTATATTGCTATAATGTCATATGGCCAGAAATATATTTTGTTAATACTTTATAAATTAATAAACCAACTGGTTTGTCTATGTCTTTAACAACACAAGTTCGGACTGGGGGACAAAGGACACAATCATGAATGTATGGCTGTCCGCCAGGAATAAGACTGGGTGAATTTCAATCTAACCCCAAACCTTATGAAAATCCAGAGATACTTGTATCCAGAGAACAATGTTTTTAAACCATGCCAGATGAGTATGCCACCCAAAATGACAAACACCGAAACATCACCACATACACACTGGTTTCCTTATATCACCTCTATCAACATCACCTTTCCTGGAGGGGCCCAGCCACTATACCTGGAACCCCTGAATCCAGCACCGTTTCCAGCTCTTGAATCAAACAAGCAAAGTTAAAATCGTTTAAAGGATTGTCCATTTGTGGAGGCACAATGAGGCACATAGATATACTGTATTTCTATGTATTTATTCCATATTCTTGGTGATTCCTCAATTAGCTGGTGAAAAACACAAGTTGCTCTTAGACAGGTCTAGATTACCATTTCATAGGATGTCATCCTTCCCATTGACATCAGTGATTTTCCCATTAAAAATTGTGATTTTCCATCAATGAACATCAGGGATCACCATGTTTTTCAAACCCGTCAGTTTCATGCCCTGCTGAAGTCCCTCTTGAATCTTCCCTGAACCGTCCCAGGCGCCCCCAGGCTTTCCATTTGCTACGGCGATCGCGGAAGAAGCTGGCAGATACCAACAGCACAGCCCGGAACAATCTGGGCAGATGGGAGCAACTTGTATCATATATAGATATTCAATGATATTCACATCTGATGCACACATGCAACTTGTTGATCCTTTTTTCGAACTTGGATAGCTTGGGTGAAAAAGTCAACACTTGGAAAATGTTGCAGAGCGACAGCCAATGAAATTGATTCGCATTTCCCTGGACAGGGTATATATGCGTTCGTGCTATGCCCCGCCAATCATTGTTGTTCCGCCTATCAGCTATAAAACTCACAGCCCAGGTCTTGCAAACCCATGCTGACCTCTTGGACTTGCAAAATCACGGAATCAACATTCATCACACTTGACATGAGCAGTGTGTGACCAAAACCCGTTCCCACTAAAGAAACTACCACATCGAATCCCGACCAGTTGCTGCCGAAGCTGTAGCTTTTCGACCTTCAAATTGAAGGGAACAACAAAACGCTGGCCGTTCTTAGTACAGAATCGTTCAGGTTTCGCGATCTAAGTCACTATGTGATGGGGTGAATGATTTTGCATCCTAGCGGGCTGGCGTAAGGTCAAAATGATCACCCCCACCCCCCACAATCACAAATGTTGGCCACTTCTCGCCCTATTCATCTACAGGAGGTAAGCTCTTGAGACTCAGTCTTAGAAAAATATGGGCACGGCGTGCATATATGAGTGACAGCCAAAGTGATTCTGAAATAAAACAACTTGATGGTGACAATCTTTCAGTGATATTGGCCAAAAACCATAATATTCAATTCCACCAGCGATCCTGATTATTGATGAGGAAGGGATACATATCCAATGTATATTATTGTACGAACATCTATCTATCTATCTATCTATCTATCTATCTATCTATATATACATATACAGTAAATATATCTGAATATATATCTATATCTATCTCTATCTCTATCTCTGTCTATCTATCTATCTATTTATCTATCTATCTATCTAGCTATCTATCTAATCAATCAATCAATCAATCTATCTATCTATCTAATTTATCCAGATTTCTATCTATCTATCTATCTATCTAATCTATCTAATCTATCCATCCATCCATCTATCCATCTATCCATCTATCCATCTATCCATCTATCCATCTATCCATCTATCGATCTATCGATCTATCTATCTTTCTATCTTTCTATCTATCTATCTATCTAATCTATCTATCTATCTATCTAATCTAATCTAATCTATTCTATTCTATTCTAATCTATCTATCTATCTCTCTCTCTATCTATCTATCTATCTATCTATCTCTATCTATCTATCTACCTATCTATCTATCTATCCTATCTATCTTATCTATCTAATCTAATCTAATCTATTCTATTCTAGTCTATCTATCTATCTATCTCTCTCTCTCTCTATCTATCTATCTATCTCTATCTATCTATCTATCTATCTAGTTTTGATGTATATATAGTGGTGCATGGTTTGACCCCATGTTCGTAGATCCGGGACAGGAAGCTCAACCGCACTTCCTCCAGGCTACCGTTGGAGCAAAGGAGGGATCTGCTGCTGACACATCTGGAGTTTCTCCATCGCTGTCTTTGCCTAGCGATGGAACGTCCGAGGACAGTGTGGTCAAATCCATGTCAAATTCACAAAGCTGGCAACGAGAAATTCCGGAACGGACAACGGAACATCATCTAGCTAGACTCCACCGTCGAAGTGTCCATCAAATTAATCAAAGTTACCACAATGTTGGATACTATATACACTATTCCCAGAGCATGTTTACATAGGTCCAAGCAATCTTGAAAATGCTACAACATGTTCCAATGCTCTGGCCTTCCAAGACTTTGTACTGCATCTGTCAGAGGATCTGCAAATATCTGGAATGTGCTGAAGTGCTGAATGATTCGAAGATGTTTCAAGTGGTGCAAAATGCTCATCCTCACTTGAATGCTCCTGTCTGAAACTACCATAGTGAACCTCAAGTTGTGAGGAAAAGGTTCTGCATATGCATATTGTTGTGTTGTAATGCTGCAGTGAGACGCTTTCTGAGTCTAGTTTTGATTTTCAATGAGTTGCTTGTGTCACATATATTTACCAGGAGCCAAATTCATCAATTGAGACCGTTGAACATGATTTCTGGGGGTGGATGCACAACACTGACGTCTGCCCACAGCATCATGCCCCATTTCTTGGATGTTCAACCATTCAGCAAACTTGTTGCGACAGAGCAGGTCCAAGCGAAGCAATGGTCCAGCAGTTTCAACATGTTCCAGCTTATTATTACACTAGCTTCTTTTGTCAAGGCTTCTTTCAAGCATCCTTCCAGCACTGTTTGTGGAACTCGGATGAATTCTTACTGGCTCTGAGTTTCATCTTTGATGGATTGTAATACCGCGATCCCAACCCACTATACTGGCTCTGATTCCTAAATATGGCTATTTACTGCTTACAATCCGTGAACATATGATCCCCAGTAATGTGGATAAAACAATAATAAACCATCCCCCAAATCACCATCTTTAAAGGTGGTATGTAAACCATTCCCAAATGGGTTATGACATTGTTTTCCCACATTCAGCCAGATATAGGTGGGTAAACCCACTTAAAACCACCATGAATGGATGATTTTCCATGATTTTTCCCACTAAAACCTTCATTTATAGGTTAAAATCCGTGATAATCATCCCCAACATCCACTTAAAACCAACATTGATATATTAGATGATTCTTCATAATTGTCCCATAAAACCTCCATTTATAGGTCGGGTAGCTGACCTAACCCCCTGACCGCCGTTGCGCCACGTCTCCTGCCACGGCGGCTTGGGCAACTTGGCCTCCACCTCCACGTGATGGCCACGGCGCTCGGCGGCGGCGTCGCCTGAAACCAATGGCTAACTGTGGATAACTGTAGTATGTATATATATATATATATATACAGATACATAGTTATTCATACAGAGATATGGATAACTGTGGTATTATACGTATCTACTATTATATATATATATGTATACACGTATTATACTGTGGTATGTATCTATGTATCTACTATTATAAGTATACGTATATATACATAGATACGATAATAGAGATAATATAGATCATATAGACAATAGGTAGTGGATAGCATCATTTGCAATATATATATATATATAATATGAGTGTATACACCCTCTGGCAAACTAACAGTTTGCTATGCATGATCACTATTTTAGTAGAACTTAATATCTTCCATAGTTATGATGTCAAATTACCAGAAGGTAACTGTTGTCATATCTCAAAATCTATGGAACATATTTGGCAAACTTTGGTTTGTTGCAATATATCAGAGGCTGTTGAACATGAATCATACTTTTGTTTAGGGCAAATCATAAGACACAAATAAGGTGCAAACCAAGGATCCAACGATCCAACTGTTGTGACTGTTGGACCACGCCTCCTTTGATACCAATCAGCGCATAGCCTGGACGAGCAGGGGCCCAGGGGGCAGAGAAGATCGAATAAATCAGGTCGAAAACTGCGATAGATTCGTATGTTTATGTGCGCTTTTCTTATAAGCTATATAAAACCAAAAAAACATTCTGTAAGCTCATCACACACTGCGCCATACATTCCCAACTCGAAGATGATAGAAGTATCAATCCACCTATCATAGACTATGACACATCCACTTGTAGATAGTTTGCAAACACAAAATCTAACATATATATATAAACATATAGTACACTATAAGTTTAAATCAATATAATATGATAAAATAAAATACAATACAGTATAGTATAGTATAATTAATACATAAAATCAACAAACACAAAATAATATTGATATAATGTTTATAATATAGTATTGTAAACTATGATATGATATGATATGGTATGATATGATATAAAAAGAACATATCATTATTATATATATATGTATATTATCTACAATACTACTACTACTACTACTACTACCACCAAAAAATATGAATATTAATAATTAATAATTTAATACTACATACATTAATATCTATACATATATACACATATGCAACATAAAAATACGATGAATATCCATATTTTCCTGCAAGAAACATCCATTAAGTGCACCTTCTTGAGATCTTCCTCCAGAGACGGCTGCCGTAGCGCCGACCTGGTGCGTTCTGGTGACCTGGTGTTGTCTGTGGTAAACCCCAAAATTAAAGTGGAAATACCCTCTGGTAAACTAACATAGCTATGGAAAATCACCATCTTTAATAGGTAAATCAACTATAAATGGTCCATTTTCAATAGCTATGTTAAATTAGCAGAGGGGAACCATCCAAATACCATCCAAAAAATCAGCATAAATGGATATAAATGGGTGTTATAAAAACCATCCCTGAATGGTAGATTTGTTGTTGGGTGTACCACATTATATGTATGATATATATATATATATGACATGTATGGCATGGATTGGTATTGATTGATATTGATTGATGCTGGGTAGATATGCCAAACGGATTACATCGAGTTTTCATGAAATCTATTGGATACTCCATGTAGATAGCCTCGAAAAACTAACACTTTGCGAACTTGAAAATGGCCCAGTCGAAATAGATGATTTATCCATGAAAAGTGGGTGGATTTTCCATATATGCATTGGATAATCCATTGAACTAATATACATGACTATATGGAAAATATTATCCAACTATAATAATCATATATTCATTGAAATCCAACTACCGATTTTTTTCAGCGTCGTTCCGAACGCGAAGAAAACGTCTGAGGCCCCCCGCCCTGCGTAGGGCTCTCATGGCCTTCGAAACTGTCAATTTACCCGGCCTGGTAAACAGCCACATAGCTATTGAAAATGGCCCAGTCGAAATAGTGGATTTACCCAGCTAGAAAATTGTGGATTGTCCATAGTCATGGGAAACTAAAAACCAGAGGGTAGTTGTTGGGTATAGCTCCCAACCTATTGAATAGATACAATCGATTGACTAAGAATTTGCAAGCAAAAGAGAACAATCTGCAGCCTGGGCCGCATTTTTTGAGATCTCAGCATCCTCCTAAACCGGAGGCGATGTCATTTAAGTCAGTTCGGCTTAATTATATCAATTATATCCCAATCTATCTCAGTTGCTGGTCTGAATCGACATGATTATTGGCTACACTTCCAAACGATCTACATCTTGTACCAACATCAACTATACCATAATTATAGATATATCACGATAATTTCATGATATATCAATGATATATATATATACACATATATACACCATATTTATAGACTATAGATATCATACAACTATAGATATACCATAGCTATAGACTATAATCATGATATTATACCATAACTATAGATTTTCCATATTTCTTCATGATATATCTATAGATTTGGCATTTTACCAATGAACAACATCTCCAAACATCGCCGAGTTGCCGCTCCGCTCAGGGACTCCAGCCCGGATCCGCGAACTGCAAGAAGCACCACACGGCCCTAGCACCACTTCGTGGCATGTCATGTTTTGAAAACAAAAAATAACAAGTTAATAGCAAGGATATATAGTACATAGATGTACATAGTATATTGTAGGAATTTCTAGGATAATATGATATGTATTGTATATAGTGATTTTTTTTCGTGCATACATTTGTAGTATAATGATGTATATTGTAGTATGATATGATATTCATATTGTATGTAATTCTATATCTGTGTGTGTGTGTTACCCTCTGGTAAACTAACATAACTATGTAAAATCCACCCATGTTCAATGGGAAAATCCACTCTAAATGGCCATGTTCAATAGCTATGTGGCTGTTTACCAGGCCGGGTAAGATACATGCTTTATACGTATGGCCCTATGGCCATACGTATAAGCGTTCGACGGTTGGGACCAGCCTCTGGCAAGGAGTTCAAGTCCGAGGCCAGTTGAGACACTGCCTGAGAGGCTGCTGGGTATATGGATATGTTATCATCATTATTATGATTATTATGTCCATACAATATCTGATACATATCTGATATATATATATATATGCTATATGTCTGATATATATATATATATGATTATGTTTATTATTATGATTTTGATACAGTATTATTATTACTACATATTACTACTATTTATTATGATTTATCATTATTACTATTATTATTATTATGTATGATATATGTTGATGGTCAGTACAGTAACTGGCTGTAACTAGGCTATTTTCAGCCCATTGGGACAGGCCTCCCAGCGCCATCCAAGCCAAACAGGCCCCCTTCCGCTGAGCACCCCAGCCACTTGCCCGCCACCTGAAGTGTCATAGGACCTGTGCTTAAACGTTTGCTAAAAAATGTTGCCATCGATAATGATCCAGAACGCTTGTTTTCATATAAAGAGGGGACTTAGACACTTGATCAGGGGTATCCTGTGGTCGACTTGGTCAACTTGCAATTCCTGACCGTGCAGGTGCCAACGGACGTGCCATTGCTGGACGAAATCCAGAAATCCATGAGCGATGCAGGTCCAGGTTTCACCTGGACCTGCAAGGTTTAGTTTCACCTGGCAATCTTGAAATGCTGGGTATATGGCTGGCTTTCGTGTGACTGATCAAAACTAAATGACATATACAAATATCTGAATATCTGATATACATTTGATATACAGGACTTGGACCACTGACATTAAGGCCTGTACCCGCTAATGATCTAATGAACTTGATCCCCCTAGTAGATTTTCTATCCTTACTCTGATTCTCCCTTTGAAGCGCCCAGGTGCCCCTACGTGGCTGAAACAATGTGCTGAGTGTCCGGGTCCAAAGTGACAACATTGAAGCCACGTCTGTCGACGGAGGATGGAAGTTTCACACGGCATAGACTTGGTCGGCGGTG